TTTTTTGTTTTTTTTTTTTATATTTTAAATGTATTAAGATATAATATCTAAATTTTCTTTAATCAAATTATACTACTACAAAAAAATAAAAAGTTTTTTAACTTCTATTTTTTTTTATAATAAAAATACTTTTTTAAATACTTTAACTTTATTACAATTAGCAATTTTTGGTCTAATACTAATATTTTTTAACACTCTAACCCTTTAATCAATGGCCTAAATAGGCATACTACTACTTTTAAAATTATACAGCTTTTTTACTTCTTTAACATTTCTATTCACTCCAACTTATACTTGTTGGCAAAACTAAAAACCTGCAAAATCCCACCCAAACCCAAATCCCAATTGGATAAACCCAAATCCCAAACTAAATGAATCCCAATCCCAAATTCCAAATCCCAAACTCATCTCAAATCCCAAACTTATTCCAAATTCAAACCTATCCTAAATCACAAATTCCAATCCCAAATCTTGTCAAGTTTTTTTAAAAAAACTTTTTTTTTTTACTAAACAAACCTCTTTTTAACTTCTAAGTAAAGTTGTAGATAGTGTTTTTATAAACCTAAACTGAACTAAACTTTGGTCAAGTTTAGATTCAAGTTTAGTTCAATTATGTTTAATATTAAACTTTTAAGTCAAGTTTATATTTAGTTTAGATTCAGCATTAAACTTTTAAGTTAAGTTCATATTCAGTTTAGGTTTAGTTCAAAGTTTATAAACATATTCAGATTCAGTAGTAGTTTAATAACAAAATATAATAAAATTTTTTTTATTGTCTTTAGAATTTTCAAATTTGGAGTTTTTAAAAAATTTTTTTTTCTTTACTAAGTAAACCTATTTTCAACTTCTAAGAAAAGTTGTAGAAGAGTGTCTTACAATTAGAATAGCAGTTAAGACATTAAAATCAGTCTAGTAAATTATGAGATATAAGTATTTTAGTTCTTGTGACAATATATTTTTTTCTTTATATTTTCTTCTTTATATAAATAAAAAAAACAAATAGCTATCAAGTCAAAAATGCTTATATCTCATGATATATTGGGCCAATTTTGATAATTTAACTGCTTTTTAAATAATCAATCCTTTAGTAGGTTATGGGTATAGTATCTAGTATAAAACCTGTGGGTAGACTACTTAAATAAATATCTAAAAGATGTATATATAGCTAGTTATATCTTTGTTGTAATTATAATAGTAAATGACTACCAATAAAAAGTCTCTATTTGTTAAAGAGAGCATTTTAATACTGAAAAAAAAATCTAGATTATTATAAAATTCCAATTTTTAAAATTTTTTAAAGTATATTTTTTAGATTTTTTTTTAAATTTAGATTAGTATTCAAAGTTAGAGTTTAATAAAAGAATATAAGTAAATTTTGTTAGATTTGTAATAGCTTATATTTTTAAATTAAGGCTTTAGATTTTATGATAATTTATTTTACCATAATTTGTAATATTTATTAAACAAGTTTAATACTATCTTATACAATAAGTATTTATAATAATTATTTTTACTATAGTTATTAACTTTACAATAAAGTAGGATGTGGCAACTTAGTAAAGTGAAAGAGTTGTCATATTCTCCAAGCTAGCTTGACTATAGTACCAAGTTCAAATCTTACTAGAAATATTTTGGACAAAAATATCTATGTTATGGTAATGGTTCTCTTAAATTAGATTGGGTTTATAATCTGTTACTAGTGTAAGTCCCAGAATATAACACGAAGACCCAGTAATCAGGCACGTAAAAATGCATGAAGTGCAATTAATTATATTTTGGATCAGGAATGGCATATTAGATCTAAAGAGGTATATGGGAGGATAAAAGAAGGATATCAGTAGAAATTAAACATTCTTAAAAATATTACAAAAAATAAACATAATTAGTTTTATATAGTTTTATTAAATATTAGTTGTAAAGTCGCATTTGTGAGTGACTAAATTTCATCTTATAAATAAAGGTTGAATTGGCCCTCAAGAGCAGCATTCGCTTGTTGCTTTATTAAATAATAAGTCCCAATTATTAAACAATCGCCCAATAAATAATATACTAACACTATACCCTGATAAATCCTATATTACTGTTATAAACATCATTGTTGCTAAACTCTTTATCACTTGACTTAATGACCTGCTTTCATTGACTTCAAGTAACTAAAGCCTTAATCATCTACTAACCAAATCTAACACACCTCTTTCGTAAGGTTACTTACTACAGGCTATGCAAGTTTTTGTATTAAGGAGCAACCAAGTCACAGTTATTTGGAACGCAATATTTTGGGATGACTGGGAGATCTGAAAATTAAGCAACATGTTCACTACCCCCCTCCCGATTTGAAAATTTGAATTAGCAGAAAGAAAGCCCAATTAACTAAGAAACCTACCTAAGTAGAATAGAAGCTTAATATTAGAGACACACTGAAAAGCATTCTTGCACAATTCAAGCCTTCCATAATGAACGCCGCCTAGCTTAAGAAGTTAATTGAGAGTATGACCAAGTCCTTCAAAGACACAGCCAAGGATATCATTAAAGAAAATTGATCTGAGTCCAAAAAAACCAACAATATGAAGGTTAGAAGTTTCAGTGGAGGTGACGACGAAGACCCTATCAAATGGTTTGACGATTTTGAGCATACTGCAGAAGCGAATAATTGGACAGAGAAAAAAAAGCTTGAAATAGCCTCTGGCTATTTAAAAGGGTTAGCATCAAAATAGTACAAGGATACTAGAGCAGATATAGAGGAAAAGAGGAATGATGACAAGCAAGACAAGAGCTTTTACCACTTGCTAGTAGCTTTCTTTGCTACTCCAGAGAAGCAGTATAAGTGGCACATCCAATTAAACAACCTCGTCCAACTTGAAAACAAATAGTAGATGCCTACGCTACCAAGTTTAAGAAACTCTTGAGCCGTGTGGATCTGACTGACTCTTTCACAATCAATATATTGTAAGAATATTTCTAAGTGGGCTAAAGGGAAAACAGCCACCTTCGTAGCGGTAATATCTCTGAATAGCCTTAATGAAGCCATTGTTGCAGCAAGAAAAGTTAAAGCCAGCGAATATTATGGTGCCCACACATATGAAGCTCTGATAATCTCTGACAAGAAGGATGAGTTAATTGAGGCATTAGTAAGCAAGTGCAGCAACTATCAGTCAACTACATTGCCGCAACCAATTAACAGGAAAAGAATACACGCAAAAAGTATAGGGAGAATCCCAGACCTCGAAGAGAAATCGTTTGTTATAGTGCGGCGAGAAAAGATATATTACGAGGCATTGTATATCAGAAAAGAAGTATCAAAAACCTAAGGAAGAGGAAAGACGTCTGACTGATAATGTTAGAAGAGTGAACTACTTAGAGTACAAAGAAAATGAATTATACATAGTAGATAAAAGAAAGCAGCAAGTACAATCTGATATCCTTGATAAAAGACCAAGATTGCAGCCAGAATTGAAGTGGGATGCTTATCAGGGAAATTTAGAATATGTAGGCCCTAGTCGATCCTATGGCAATATCTACCAAGTGTATTGCTACCTGACCAACCTTGAACACCTTGCACTAGAATTCTTTGATCAATGAAAAGCTATCTACTGAGTCAACTTTTAAGGGTTTAACCTAATAGCACATGAGCCAAGACAATTATTAACACTAAGAGAATGGGTAATTTTCAGTGCAAAACAAGAGTTAATTAGAAAAAAATACTTATGAAATATAGGAATTGACCTAGAGTATATGGAACCACTGAATGTCTCAGCCAATGAAGTCGAAAGAGCTGCTAACAAAAAGGGTAAACAAAAGCTGATTAACTTGGAATCAATGGAACCAGAAAGCAATAATTAGGCAAACCTATATATATAGATAAAAAAAAAAAAAAAAGAC